TCAATTCCTCACAAAGCCAAGAGCAAAGGGGAGCCCAGAGCCCACCAGAGCCAGAGGAAGACAGGCAGGCAGCCCTCATACGCCGATGAGGTGGAGATCCTAGCTAGGTGCTCAACATATAAATAATGTACCTTTAAAATTTTCACATGTAGTTAAAAGAACTCTAGTAAACCGTTGTTTGCAAATTATCTTTTCTAGAATTACCCTTTGTGAGCCATAAATTAACCAAACCCAGGAACACTCAGATTTACCAAAGTGTAGACATGATCAAAGGGTTACAGGTGATCTTAACATGCAGGTATTAGGTGGACTTTTGGACTTGTAAATAACACTCTGGTCTATCTCTGAAATCCATGTAATACTAAAAGCATGGAAATATGGGCTCACTGTAGGCTGAAATATTGCTAAAGAGATCATCAGAGCTGCAATAATTGTAGGGCTAGAAAAAAATCTCTTTGTATTCACATCAAATGTATACAACACTGAAAATGATTTCATTAAACTATTCAAGAGCCATCTGATACAGCTATAGAGAGACAAAAATAGATGCTATAAATTTACCAAACATTTACTTCAAAACAGATATCACCCTCGGAAAGTTGTAATTATTTTCTCTCTACCTTGTTCCTGTGCCTTTGAGGAATAATGTCAATCTGGTTTAGGTGGAAAGAGGTGCATCTGGAAAGGAATACTACATAAAAGAAATCGAACACTTCCATGATGGAGAGATTTTCCCGGCCTGTTCATGGACTATTCTCGCCTACCTGGCTTGCGCCTCTGATTTCCCCCCATTCCTGTGTACTAAATTTTCCATCACAGTTCTTTTATTTTTTTTTAATTTTTTAAACTTTTATTATTTTTTTTTTTTAATTTCTTTTTTTTTTAATGTCTATTTATTTTTGAGAAAGAGAGAGACAGAGTGCAAGTGGGGGAGGGGCAGAGAGAGAGGGAGACACAGAATCTGAAACAGGCTCCAGGCTCTGAGCGGTTAGCACAGAGCCCGATGCGGGGCTCGAACCCACAGACTGTGAGATCATGACCTGAGCCGAAGTCGGACGCTCAACCGACTGAGCCACCCAGGCGCCCCAAACTTTTATTTTTTTTAATGTTTATTTATTTTTGAGTAAGAAAGATAGAGTGCAAGTGGGGGAGGGGCAGAGAGCGAGGGAAACACAGAATGTGAAGCAGGCTCCAGGCTCTAAGCTGTCAGCACAGAGCTGGATGCGGAGCTCCAACTCATGAGCCGTGAGATCATGACTTGAGCTGAAGTCAAGTCTGATGCTCAACCAACTGAGCCACCCAGGCACTCCTCCATCATGGTTCTTTTAAAACCACGTGACACAAAATACACACAAGTCTTTATGTCCATTTTTTTTTTTTTTTAAGTAGGCTCCACACCCAGTGCAGAGCCCAACATGGGGCCCAAATCCACAACCATGAGATCAAGGCCCAAGCCGAGATCAAGAGGCAGATGCTCAAATGACTACGCCACCCAGGTGCCCCTTTTACATCATAATTTTATTTAAACTCTATACATCCTAATCAGTTCTTTCTGCCCCAACTCACAAGAGTAGGTGTAAATAAGGTGTCAGGAGCATGTCTTAAAAATCAAATCTGAGCACCCTCCCCCAGCAGAGAGAGATACTCTCAAAATATTGCTGACAACACGTCTTCATTTTTTCAAATACCTACTGAGCGCCTACTAGGCGTGGGAAGGAACATCAAGATGCGAAACATGAAGGTCAAAGAATCTGCAACCTAGAAGCTGGGGCAACGCAAAGGTGTGAATGCATATGAAGAATGGCAGCACCTGGTAAGGGATGAAGGCTGGGGCAGGTGCACGTTGGGGGCGAGCAGGGCTGAAAACCCTCGCAAGGGCTGCAGCCATCCAGGGCAGGGGCTATTTTCTAAATCACACAAATGCCCAGGCCCCACCAACTGGTACCTGGGCATGTTTGGGCTGGGTGAGGACCTTCAAGGATCTGAGAGACTAGAAGAATTAGGATCTATTCCCTATCGGCTGAAAGCTGTGACTGTTAAGAACAAAAGACAATTGACATGAGACAGATGCTTAAAAAGGCCCCAAACTCCCTCTATACACAAAGCTTTGGTATTCAATCTGCTGTGATGGAGACATTTTAAGACATTTTAACACCCGTACAAATGGGCGATTCTCTGCTAGAGGCAATTAAGAGTTACCTTGGTGATCAACATAAGGCTTGAAGGCCTGAAGGATTTTTGGCACAGCCACCCCCATGTCAAGTTCCGTCAGAGTTAGTTCATTCATAAAGTAGGGGAGCTGGAGGAAAGAAGTAAACAATGAATGAGACATTAGTTACCCGGTCAATGTTAGAATTCAACATACTCTCAGAAGGAACGACAGTCAAGATTTTGGGGACACATTCATCTAACCAAAATTTATGGAGCACGTACAATATACTAGGCATCATCCTACAGAGAGACCTGTGGATGAGTCAGGCGAGGTCCTTGCTCTCGTGCGGTTTATGTTGGAGAGGTGGAAACAGATAAAGAAGTAGACAAATAAATAACCTGAGAGAGTGATTAGTGTTACAGAGAAAGTAAGGCAAGTAGTGGGATAGAGGGAGCTGGGGTGTGGGTGGGAGGTGGCTATTTTGGCCAAGGAAGTCAGCGAAGGCTTCTGTGAAGAGTGCTGTCTGGCTAGAGACCTGACTGAGGAGAAGGCATCAGCCATGTTGATCAGGTCACTAGAGTTGGCTACAGTGTGGGAAAGTGGACCTCTCTTAGACTACTAACTGCTCCAACGTTTCTGATAGGCAAATTCATGGTATTTATTAAAATCCTTGGGAAAAAAAAAAATCACATCCCTTGAACCAGTGCTTGACATTTTCCTTTTGCCTACCCTGGATTCGAGTTCCTCACTCTACCCCGAGAGACTGGTCTGTGCAAACCACATCAATGGGCTATCCTGCCCTCTGGCTTCTGGCTGGGCTTGACCCATGGGATACACCAATGGGCAGGGAAGAAGGGAGGTACATGGGGAAGAGTATTGTCAGGGATTTGTCTCCTCCCTCTGTTGAAGGCCACCACTCCTGTCAGACAGGCAACACAGCCATGCTGCCCAAGGCCTGGTAATTGCTCCTTGCTTTTGCCCCTACAGGGAGCGGTAACCCTCCCCTACAGAGAGCTGCCAGCCCTGGGTCCTGCCCTGTCCCTTTTGGTTTTCCTACACTGGCCCACACATTATAAATCTTCCCCTTAATCAACTCTCCTCTCAGGTTACTCCCCTTGAGTGTGCTGTTTCTTGCTGGGACTCCAACTAATATAGCATCAGTCGGAATTTGCTCTAAAGAAAATAATCTGAGTACTCATATGCTTAGAAATTCCTACTTTGCCTCAAGATGACAGAATTAACCCATCCATGTTTCTTTCACCTGAATTGCATGTGTAAGACATGCAATATACTGAAATTAGAGAGGTTATGATGGCTGTGATGGACAAAATGTGACTAGAGACAGTACTCAAACGTGCATGTGAATTGGTGGTTGCTGTATTTGGAAAACCTTTTTCCAAGGCATCAATGTTATGTGGCAGTTGGCCTCCCTATCAGCCTACAGAATGCTACTTGGCCAAGAATGTAGCCAAATTCTTGCACCCTTGCCCCAGACTGTTTTGTCTATTATCAGCACTCTAATACCCAGTGAGTCAGGGGCACGCTGCGTTTCTGTGGGAACAGCAGTCCGACACTGACCAAGGGGAGTGAATGCAGAGAGGGTCTCAGTTCCCAGACTCCTGTCCAACGTCCCAGTCCTCCTATCCTGTGCCCTGCAGTTCCCCGCAAGGGCAGAGGAGAAACCTAAGACAAGGGAAGGGCTGTGGGACTGGGGACTGAGAAAGACTCGGTAGGGCTGAGCTGGGCTCTAATCACCAGTAAGCAGAACGGGGAGGGACTCAGCAGGACCTGGCTTCCTACTTATTCACCAGAGTGCCCAACTCCAAGATTCTAGAACATCTCTAAGCACCCTCCCCCTCCAAATCACAACTGATCTGAATCAAAACTCTCAGGTCCAGGCCCTAGCCTGGTCAGCCTCCTTCGTACTCTGTAGGGGAAGGCAAGGAAAAGTCACTCCTTCTGCTCTTTTCAACCAGAAACTCTCTTCTTCCCACCCAAAGGCACCACCGTGAGGTAAGAACCCACTGCGTGTTCTTTACCCTCCCGAGTAAACCCAGCCGGACATCCAGGTGTATGGAACATTCTCAGGTTGGTGGGGGGAACGCTGGAAGTTGTCTGCGATAACAACATTTGCTGACCCGGGGCACAAGAGGCCCATGATGACTGAGGCCCCATGGCGGTGTTGGGAGGGGCCGGCTAGGGCCAAGAATGTACTTGCTTGTTGGGGCAGAAAGTCAGCTTGCTTTAAACCATCACTGGGCACCAGATACACACACAGGGCTGCTCTTTCACAACATGAGTCACTCTCACATGGGAGGGTGACAAACTGAGACTGCAGGGCAAGGACATCAAAGAGTTCTCCACATGTCAGGCCTTCAGGGGAAAGCAGGAGACGGGAGACCTTTGCCACAGCAGACAGCTGTGCGGGCTCTTGTACTGGCCGTTAACCAACACTGGCTACCAGGTTTAGTCCTTCCCGGGATATCTGGATACTGGTGATAGTAAGACTTCTCTTGGCAAGGGTGGTAGGAGGTTCAGAATTTGAGTAATATCCTACTTCTGTTTATTCCATCACATCCAGGGTGTCCTCTGGTCTGCAGGGGGGCAGTCAGGGCTAGCAGCTGGGGTCAAGGTGGAGCTGCTGAGGCTGGCAATGGAGGGGGCACAGTCCCTGTCTCTGAACTACTGGTACTACTGAATCTAGGCCACTTTTCTCCATCCTAACCTTCTAGCGCTTCTGACCTCACACCACAAAAGGCAGCTTTAAGTCTGTAAACTGAAAAAGCCCGTGACCAGCAGGGGGAGAAGATGAAAATGACAGACTTTCCCTCAACTTCCTCTGGGATGAGAGAGCCCACCGATCTCCGCCAGGAGGGCAGAGGTTCCATGGACTTCCAGCACCCGAGAGAAGCGAATGTGTGTAACAGGGAGAGCAGTGTCCTGTCTGGAGCTGAGGTATGCCTGCTCTCTGCCTCCCATGCCAGGGACCCCAGCCTTCACGCTCGGGGAAGGGCCTCTGGGAAAAGAGGAGCGTTGGCCCCGCCTGCGTGTCTTGACCCAGGAGCTCAAGCTCTCCACCATTCTCCAGAAAGAGGGAAGAGGTGGAGTGAGCTCCAGCGCGGCTGCCTGTTTACAAACACGGGAGGGTGACCGCCACTTCCTGCCCTCCTCTTGGACCCGGCTGGCAGAGCGGTTTCAACCCTCAATCTACCTGCAAAACAACAGCTGACCTGTGTCAGCTGAGCCCCCCCAAATCCCTGCCCTGAATTCTGCCTCAAAATCCACTCTTCCAGCTCAGAAGGCAGCCTCTCCTCTTCACCAGGGGTTAGGGAAGAGAGGACACTGGCCTCCGGCTGGCACACACAGCCTGCCAGGGCTTGATCTGTCACCCGGGGCTTGGTCTGTCACCCAAAGGAAAGATGAAAAGTCACATCGAAGCTTCTCCATGCCCACATTTTCCTTCTAATGCAATTTTACCTTAGCTCACCGTTTCCTAACCTGGAGTCCTTGAACTCTCTGAAGTCATGGGCAAAATTCTGCATCACTATGCATTTTTCTATGGAAAGAATCCATTCATTTCTGCGTCTCAAAGGTATCTATGACCCAGAAAGATCCACTGATTTAAGCTGCTGACTGTGCAACTTCTCAGTGACGATTTGGGGACCGAAGTGACTCTTCCTTGGCTGGGTCTTTGCTTGGTCAAAAACTTACTTCTAAGTAACCTAGACAAGGTCTCTGGGTTGGCAGAGGTGGTAACCAAGTTACTCATTTAGTGGCAATCGTGAGTAATATTTATGCAGTTTAAAATTACTTCCAAGTGGGCCCTTGATCAGCACCAGGACTGGTGTTTTTCAGCAAAGAGAGAGCCCAAAATAAAATACCATCTGGCCAGAAGTAAAGGTCAAACCCAGACACATTTAGAGTTCCATGCTAACTTTCCCGGCCTGGAGAGGCAGCGCGACTTGGGAAAGAGGTTTGTAGTCTGGCACTTTTCTCAGCAAGGATGGTGCGGCCCCTAGACGGTGAGGCTAGGTGGGCTCCAGAAATACAATTTAAGTCCCTTACTAATTGAAGGATAGTAGTGGTCTACACGACAAACCAGCTACAAAAGCTCACATTTTCCCACATCAGATTCTGGACTATCACCTAAAATAGATAACAATGTGGGCAACAAAAAGGAAAGTGTAAACACGAACATTCATTAAGTCCCTAGGTATGGTTAGTCATAGGGCCAAGGTCACAGCTGTTGTTCTCATATGTTATAGGCTTCAAGCCAAATTATTTTTCACTTATGATATAATGATACAAAACTTCCAAATTAAGAAGTATGAAAATTGGAAGCCTCTTGTGTGGAAAATGATACCTTTATTTTGCTGAGTTTCATTTGGATTTTCTTAGACACCAGATCAGACCAATATTTCTCTCCTAAGAAGTCCCAAAACATTCTTCCAAGCAAGGCATTCACCCAGGCTTCCTGTTCTTCCTCCTCCGAGGGTGGAGCCTCTGGCAACTGAAAAGAAAAGGAACTGAAATTAGCTGGAAAGCAACTGGAGAACAAGACAGGTGCTTATTTTCACAAAGTCACTGAAGGTTCCCTTCCTATAGAGATGGGCGACCACGGGAGTTGTATTTCTTTCCTATAAATTACAAGTCTCACATTATGTCAGTGAATAGAAAAAAGGAGAAACAAAAGCCACCACCACAGATAAAAACTCCTCTTTGTCTGTTTTCTTCTACTACCCGTCTTCCTGTGAACCAGCTAATATTTCATACAATCAGTTCAACCAGATTGTCCTGCCTCCCAAATTACCTTGGTACCCACTTTTGACTAATGACATCTCTGATTAAATGTCTGCCTATCTCTTCCAGCTGAGGCTTCCTGGACATATAACCATGAGGCTGGTCCTCACAAAGCAGCCCGAAAACGTCCCATACCCAGGACTCCTACAGTCAGCCAGGTTCTTATGAACCCACAGCCCTCTTGGGCGAGAGAGAGGCAGGGAGGGTGCTTACACTGGGCCCTATACCCAGAGATACTCATTTAAGCGGATATCAGAATTTTCAGAAGCTCTCTCATTGATGTCCCGAACAGGTGAGGTTGAGAACCACAGCCCTGGATTAGAGAGAGCTCGCTCTCGAGAATTCTGTGAAATTCCTACAGCTCTTCTCCCCAAGTCAGCCCAGTGAGATACCCTGGGTCTCACCTCCACTTGGTACAACCTGTCTTAAACATCTAGCATGGCCAGCGTGTAAGGCGGGAGAAGGACAAATTTGAGTTAGTTTCTGGTTTCCAAGGCTAATCATCAGATGACGGACCCTGGCCTGGAGAGGGCCAGGTAGGGTGTGGCAGGGCACCTGGCAGTGCAGGTAATGCTTGTTGACCACCATCGTGGTCACTGTTGCTGCCCCCTGACCCTGCGCCAGGCCCCGTGATAAGACTGTTTCTCAGGCTCCCTCATTTATGCCCTACGATGCCCCAGAAACATGGAACCCTTACTTCTATTTTAGGGATGAGGAAACGGACTTGGAACCATTCAGTGTCCTGCCCGAGGCCCCTCATTTATCAGCACAGCCTGACTCAGAGCCTCCTTCTCCCTGATCTCCACCTGCTCTGTCCCGAGGGAGGAAGGTGGTGTGACTGGCACCTGGTGGGACAAGACATTTCCTTATGTTGAGGTCTCTAATTACACTACGGCCTTACAGAAACAATTTGCCTTGGAAAGCAAAGACCAAAAAAACTAGAAACGCAGAAATCAGCGAGTTGTTCACCCTTTCTCTTCCCTCTACGGTTTGTACAAATGCATCTGCTCTGACCTTATGGGCTGTCTGCGGCCATAACGCACGTCAGATGCCCTCGCCCTCTTCACACTTTTAGTGTGTGTGTGCTCATGCCAGCGCTGTCTGTGGCAGGCAGCTGTGACTGCCCACGTCACAGTTGTGTGCCTTGGCCAGAGGGACTGTACCCAGGTGGCCTGTGCTCGTGGACCTGACGCTTGGAGATCTGATGACTTGTTGAGTACCCCAAAGGCCTGTGGCATGTACCTACATGGACTTTTCTGAAGCCTGGACTTCTGAGGGTCCAAGGCAGGGGAACCGGTCACTGAGCTTGTACAGGGCCTAGTGGACTGAGTGGCACCCACCTGTCCACTAGTCTTGTCAGAGCAGATGCCGTCTCTCTCCTTGGGGGTCTGGGAGTTTGCTTGTGGTTTTTAATCTAATGTTATCGCACATAAGGGGAGACTATCAGGGGACATTTTGTGTTCTAGGAGTCCTTTAAATTCGGGTATTTTCATGGGTGTCCCTTAGGAATGTTGGTGAGTCTCATTAAAAAAAAAAATTAACTCTGGGGGCGCCGGGGTGGCTCAGTCGGTTGAGTGTCTGACTCTTGGCTTTGTCTCAGGTGATGATCCCACGGTTTGTGGGACTGAGCCTCGCATCGGGCTCTGCACTGACATCGGGCTCTTTCTCTCCCTCTCTCTCTGCCCCTCTCCTGCGCACACACTCTCTCTCTCAAAATAAAAACAACTAAACTCTTGTTTAAAAAATAATACGTGTTGGTCATTCCAACACTTCAATGGATATACAGTACCTCTGTTCTTTCCAGTGCTGTAATATCTTTTGATATTAACCAAGACTTTTTTTTTTTTTAAGATTTTAAGTAATCTCTATACCCAACGTGGAGCTTGAACCCAGAGATCAAGAGCCACATGCTCTACCGGCTGAGCCAGCCAGGCACCCCTAACCAAGACATTTCTAGTACCAGGTTCTAGATGCAGGAGCAGAAGTCTGTGATCACTGAGCACTCAGTCATGCCACAGATGGGACATGGTTTTGGGAATCACTTTTCTCTCTGCCTGAACATCTGCGCCCAGCCCCCAAGGGGATATGGTCCAGCTTCTCTGAGGTTACGGTCTTTGAGTCTCATCAGATTATCTACACAGGCTTCTGAGTAAACACCCATCCAAGAACAATGTCCTCCTCCCCCGGGTATTTAGACATTGCCAAGTTGTGCCCACACAGGGCAGCACGTGTCTTGCTTAGATCCGTAGGCAACATAAGAGGATTGGTTACTTTCCCTTCTCACGTGGGGGAGTCTACCCTTTATTAACCTTTCTTTACAACACTAGTTATTCACAGCAAACGGGTTTAGCACAAAAGAGCAAGAAACAAAGGCTATTTCACAATTTATGTTCCAAGCCAAACGCATACGATGTGGAAACAAATTTCTGAAATAACCGACAAGCAGGTTGTTTTTTCTTTTCAACAGTTCCTTCTCCAGGCTTCTCTCTTCACAAACTCATTGGAACAAAGAAAAATCCAAGAGCAGCAAAACATTGACAATGCATCGTAGCAGCTTTATGAACAAAATCTGGCTTCACCAGGCTACTAGAAAGAACTCATTTCCGATGAATGTCATAAAAATGTAAGAGCTTAAAGAATAAATATGCGTGTGTTTCCTAACATTGCTATTTGCCTGCAGGAAGGAATGTGAGAATATTCATTTCACCATTTCAACTATATACATACGTTCAGATAGGGTAACTTTCTCAAAATGACTTCCAAAAAAAGGCCTGGAGAGTCCGACGGCCTGAAGCTGAAGGAGGCCATCATGAGTGTCTGAGAAGCTCTTGGGATATAGTTTATTTTTTATTTTTTAATGTTTATTTATTTTTGAGAGAGAGACACACACAGAGACAGACAGAGTACAAGCCGGGGAAGGGCAGAGAGAGAGGGAGACACAGAATCTGAAGCAGGCTCCAGGCTCTGAGCTGTCAGCACAGAGCCCGATGCGGGACTTGAATTCAAAAACCGCGAGATCATGAGCTGAAGTTGGATGCTTAACTGACTGAGCCACCCAGGCGCCCTGGGACATAGTTTTTATTAAAAGCTAAACTCCAGAGTAAATTACAAATTTACTTAATTTTTTAGTGTAAACTTTCCTGTAACAAATGGCAGGAGGCCAAGGCCAACCCTGCTTTTTTTTGTTCCAAAGAGAGCTCAGAGCCTCTGCTCCTAAGGTTTGGTCACACACGATTTGGCGCCATCAGGGTTTCACAAAGGACTGCTGGGTCCAGGGGAAGGCACAACGGAAGACCCTTCCCCCAGGCCCGTCAACTGTCTCCCCAATTATAAAAACAATACATATTTATTACAGAAAACACCCATAATTCCACTATCTAGATATAGTTATTTAAAACATTTTTATTCTATTTCCTCTCAGTCTTTTTTTTCAATGTATGTAACTCTTTAGGACACAGAACTTTAAAAAATAATTGGATCGGGGCGCCTGGGTGGCGAAGTAGGTTAAGCGTCCGACTTCAGCCAGGTCACGATCTCGCGGTCCGTGGGTTCGAGCCCCGCATCGGGCTCTGGGCTGATGGCTCAGAGCCTGGAGCCTGTTTCCGATTCTGTGTCTCACTCTCTCTCTCTGCCCCTCCCCCGTTCACGCTCTGTCTCTCTCTGTCCCAAAAATAAATAAACGTTGAAAAAAAAAATTTAAAAAAAAAAAAAATAAAAAATAATTGGATCAAACTAACATGGTTTTGTATCTTCTTTTTTTTTTTTTTTTTTACAGCTTTACGGAGATACAGCTCACATAACACACAATGCACCCATTTAAAGAGTAAAATCTATGGTTTTTAGCATACTCACAGAGCTGTCACCACCATCAACTTTAGAACATTTTAATGACCCCCAAAAGAAACCTCGTGTTCCTGAGCAGCCCCTAGCCATTCTCCCCCAACTCCACCCCCACCACCGTCCCCACCGTCCCCAGGCAACCAACCATCAATTTATCTCCGTGAATTCGCCTCTTCTGGACATTTCACATGAGCGAATCATACAATATGTGCTCTTTTGTGACTGACCTTCTCTTCTGAGGCATCATGTTTCCAAGCTTTACCCGTGCTATAGCACATGTCCGTACATTATTCTTTTCTATTGCAGAATAACATTCTATTGTATGCATTTACCACATTCTATCCATCCATCAAGTGGTAGAAGTTTCCACTCTTGACTACTGTGAATAATGGAGCCATGAACGTTTGTGTACAAGTGTTTGCATGGCCATACGTTTCTGTTTCTCTGGGCCATATGCCTGGGGGTGGGACTGCTGGGTCGCACAGCTAGAGGTTCACTTTGAGGAGCTACCAAAGTGTTTCCCATAGCAGCTGCATTGTTTCACTTTCCCACCACCAACATACAATGCTTCTACCTCCCCTACTTCCTCACTAATATTTGCTATCATCTTTTTTTCATTCTAGCCATCCTAGTGGTTGTGAGGTGGTATCTCATTGTGGTTTTGATTCGCATTTCCCTGATGACTAATGACCGAGTATCTTTTCTAGGCTCACTGGCCATCTTTTTATCTTCTTTGGAGAAATAGCTATTCAAATCCTTTGCCCATTTTTTAGTTGGGTGATTCACTTTTTAAAAAAAGTGTTTGTTTATTTATTTATTATTTGTGGGGGGGGGAAGGTAGCAGTGAGAGAGGGGGAGAGAGAGAATCCCAAGCAGGCTCTGCACTGTCAGTGCAGAGCCCACTGTGGGGCTTGAACTCACAAACCATGAGATCATGACCTGAGCACAAGTCAGACTGACTGAACCACCCAGGTTCCCCATGGGTCATTCACCTTTTTATTATTCAGTGGTAAGAGTCCTTTAACTATTTTAGGTCCTAGCATATCAGATATATGATTTAGAGATACTTGCTCCCATTCTGTGTGTTGTCTTTTCACTTTCTTGATGGTATTGTTTGCGGCACAAGTTTTTAATTTTGATGAAATATATCCTTTTTTTTTTTTGAGAGAGAGAGAGACATCATGAGCTGGGGAGATGGGCAAAGGGGGAGAGAGAGAATCTTAAGCAGAATCCACATTCAGTGTTTGATGGGGCTCAACCCCATGACCCTGGGATCATGACCTGAGCCAAAATCAAGAGTTGGACGCTCAACTGACTGAGCCACCCAGGCGGCCCTACTTTATCTTTTTATAATTTTTTCTTTGGTTGCATGTACTTTCAGTGTCCTATCTAAAAAAGCTTTACCTAACCCAAGCCATAGAGATTTATGCTTATGTTTTCTTCTAAGAGTTTTATAGTTTTGAGCTCTTCTGAGTTAATTTTTGTGCATGGTGTGAGGTAGGGGTCCAACTTCATTCTTTTGTCACGTGGATACCAGTTGTTCCAGCACCATTTGTTGAAAAGACTATTCTTTCCTTCTCCCTGCTTCCCTGAACTGTCTTGGCACTCTTTTCTGTATCCTTTCTAACATTTATTTATGTATTTAAAAAATTTTTAATGTTTATTTTTGAGAGAGAGTGAGAGACTGAGCATGAGCAAGGGGAGGGGCAGAGAGAGAGGCAGACACAAAATCTGAAGCAGACTCTAAGCTCTGAGCTGTCAGCACAGAGCCCGATGCAGGGCTTGAACCCATGAACTGTGAGACCATGACCTGAGCCGAAGTCAGATGCTTAACTGACTGAACCACCCAGGTGCCCCTAAAATTTATTTTTAAATTAACTATATGGTTTCATGGTTTTTTTTACTCACTGTGTAAGGAGCACTTTTCAATTCTACTTTTAAATGTTTGAAGAGCTGTCTTTGAGCAGAGAAAGGGGAAGTTTTGGAAAACCACTCTCCCATTTAAGACTTTCTGGTTTCTGTTGGATTCCTATTTGCTTTTTAGGGTTCTCATCTGATAACAGCAAATAGGGAGTAATATCTTACAATCCAGTTCATAGGTAACAAGACAATTAGTACAACTAGTAATAATGAAGACAGGACACTCCAAACCTGGGAGGCCTACAGTATCTCTCAACATTTAGGATCTTCCCTGGATAATGAGCATGGAAGTGTGTGACACAATCGGAGTATCAGAGCCTTGCTCCTGGAGGACAGGCAAACCACTGCCCCACCGATGGTCCTTTCTCCCAGGCAGGCCACTTTGGGGCACACAGAACTAGCAGCCTCCAAGAGCATATCTGCAGGCAGCCCTGTGGTCCCCCTTCCTAAGCTAACCACACTAGGGGTAATGCTATGCCACCTGGAGACATTATTAAAAACAGAGTTTCCTTATTTTCTTCTTTTCTGAATTACTATTTAAATTTCCTCCTCAAACCAAGCAGACTACCTTGACAAGACAATAAACTCTGGCCTCCTCAGCCAGCCTCATGGTCTCTCAACTGTTCTAGATGTTGAGGTACCTGAACAGCAAGAAAATGGCACCAATACCACAGGGGTTTGGAGACTTTGGAGGCTTGCACAGCCTGTGGCTGTGGGACAAAGCAGTCCCAAGGGCCGGTCAGGGCTCGGTAACTGGTCACTAACCACTAAACAAGTGGAGAACCAGGCCTTTCCTTGAAAAGAGTGGTTTTATAATTCAAGTTTTGAGCTCCAAAGTGGTTTCAATATGCAGAATCCCCTGAATATGTTTTTAATTTTTGTAAGAATAATTACAATATTACTGTGTTGTTTTAGCACTGTTTAATACAAACCTAGTCTATATTTACCAATTACATCCTGGGTGTTTGTAACACAAGTTTGGCTCCTGAGCACCAGTGGCCCCATTCACCTCCTGACCTAGTCTGGCACTGGGTGAACGTGAGCAAGGAGGCCCAGTGGGTGGAAGCTGCCATTAGACTTGGAGCCTTCAGGGTAAGAGATGCTCTGACCATGGCCTACAAGGGGCAGCAGCAGGGGGACAGTGGGGAAGGGGAGAGGTTGAAGCGAAGGCCTGGAGCTGTGTCCCAAGCTCCCTCTACGAAAGAGGAGGGGACCTGCTACACTGGGTAAGCTCTGGCCGGTGGCTGACACTGGTGATGTGACAGTGTAACTTGAAAAAATGTCAAGGGTTCCTTTTTGTCTCTGAGCCCTTTCAGTTTCTCTCGGACTCATTATGTCAGAGGCAGTGGACCCTAAGAAATAACGTGGCCCAGTCTTTGGCAGGAAGAATGAACAGTAATCGCCACATCCAAAGGGTCCATATTTGGCAAGACTGTGGGGGCAAAGGCATTCATGGCTGGTGGGAACAAACACTGGTGCGACGCTTACGGAGGGGATTTGGTAACACCTCACAAAAATACATGTGCATTTACCTTCTGATGTGGCAACCTCACTTCTAAGATTTTATTTTAGAGATACACCCCCAACAACACAAAAATACACATGCACAAACTATTCACTCCATCACTGTTTGTAATTGCAAAATACTGGAAACAACCTCTAAGCCCCTATAAAAGAGAGAATGTCTATATACTGTGAAACATTTTTACAATGGAGTAAGTACTTTGCAGCTGTTTAAAAACAAGAGGAGGGAGAGACATCCAGGAACTGATGTGGAGTGATTTCCAGAATGTACTGGTAAGTGAAAAAAGTAAGGTACAAAATAGTATCCATAATATGCTACCATTTGACTAAGACAGAAGGGGCAATAAAGCCAGAAAGGATAAACTAGACACTAAGGAGATTGGCTTACGTCAGGG